ACTGAAAATTCACCCTTCGGGTGCATAAAGCTTACTTTGACTTGACAAACGATCAGACTAAGGATGAAAACCAACTCCGTGTAGATGGAGCAAGAAGAGCCTTGTTGCAACTCCTAAGACCGCTGTGGAATCGATGCGAAATAAGCTTAAATACTAAGTTTCGGAGTTATCATGCTTCCATCCTTACTTATGGTTGTGTAAAATGGCCGCTAAGAGTACAAGATACAAGGAAGCTCGAGGTCTTTGGTTATTGGTGCTTACGCCGCATCTATAAAGTGAACCAGGGAGATCGGGTTTCCCATGAGGGGGTTCAACAGCGCTGCTCGAACATTGACAAGATTTCGAAAATTCTACAACGCCGGTGCTTTCAGTGGATTGGCCACGTGCTCCGGAGGCCCAACACTCAACTATCACGGCAGTCTGTGGCCCCCGCACCGTGTCGACTTGGTGGTCAACTGAAGGTCTGGAGCAATACGATCGAGGCGGATTTGGAATTAATGGGCCTCCTATCCGTATACGAAATTCATAACTGGCAGTAGGTAGCTTTGCTGTCGTCCGATCCAATACCACACCTAACCTATCGGGACCTTAAGTGGTTCGCCACTTCAAGTCCCGAGGATTAGGTTACCGGTTTCCGTCAACGAACAGCAGGTCCTCGCGACTATAGGGCTTTCCCCGTCTGCTGTTCATCACACGAAAGTGTGCGATAAAAAAGATCTAGGTCTCAGTTTTCAGTTTTGACAACCACTACCCATGCATTTCCATTCACGCAGTCTTTCTTTTCTATCTCACAACCAGAAATACCCGCCAAACTCTGAGTTGTTTGAAATTTTGTAAAACACCAATCGTCCTAAAATTGCGTGCTCTTGAGCTAGGCCCTACTCTACCTTTTTACACGTAAGTGAATACAGTAAAAGGCGTATTGCCCATAATACAAGGATATCCTGTATGTGGAAAGGTAACGGAACATCACGAGACTGCACCTTGACGTGGTGTGACGGCTAGTGCACCTCTCTTACCCAACGAGCTACACAGGACGGCCAAAGATCTAATCATGCCTGGAAGGTTAATGGGTAGAGATCAGACAAAGTCCAGTCTCCTGATCCTCCAGGTTGGGGGTTCGACTTGAGTTGATGTCTCAGTCAGCAAAACGGGTTGGAGGTATAATTGATCCAAGCTAATGTGCCTTCAATCCACTTTAACCGCTGCCTTGGGGTTAGATTCTTGTCAGAACTAAAGGCTTTGGACGAGAACCTTAATCGTTCTCCTGCTTAGTGGCCGGACACGCTGGCAGTACCCGTCCATCAAAACCCGATGCATACACAAACAAAAAATAATTCCATACTGCATCGGTCGTCGCGTAGGATAATCAGGACCGCGTTGTCTTTGCATCGAGCGGGGTGGGTACTGCTCAGATATCCGAACCTTTGTTTAACTCTTTGTCTTCCGTACCTAACCCTAACCCTATCCCTTTACCCCTTCCTCCGACCCGTGATATTCCCTCAGACAACTTGTTCGTCATTCACCAAAGGTCTTTGCCAAATAGCACTGTAACTAGTTTTCCTTTAAATAAAGTGCCGATTCTAACGCCTCCTCAACCTCCCAATCTGGGGGCTTTCAAAGTGAGAACTCTTATGCAGATGGGTCAACAAGCGTGTCTAGCGTGATGTCAGTGGTGTATCGGAGACACGAATTCAGGATCCTAGTATTATAAGCCACCTGAGTGCCCCGGGTCTGATCTCGAGGTATTTCCTTCGCACATTATAAGACGACGAAGCCCGCTCTCTGGGTCAGCGTGGTATAGGGATCATACCAAACGATAAAGCTGGAGCCTCTATGATAGATTGGATACCCGTCAGTAGTCGTTTGAGCGCAATGAGGCTCGAGGGTTCAGTCAGTGTTAGAAAGGGAAGCAACACCAAAAGGTGTTGGTTCACCATTTCCGCATATGCACCAACCAACTGAAGTCGCACTTCACAAAAGGACAAATTTTACGACAAACTCACCGAACTCATTCGGTTGAGCCGCAACTCGGATATCATAGTGCTCGCACGTGATTCTAACGCACAGGTTGGAAAACCGAGCGCATCCGAAGCCTGTCTAGGGGAGCACTTCGCCCACCCCGCCCAGCGAACAGACAACGGTAATCGACTACTTCAGTTCTGCGCGGATGATCGATTGTTCTTATAAGCCATCAAATTTCGACTCAGCCCTTGTCCAACTGCTATATGGTATTCTGGTTCCACCGGAAAGTTGACCCAAATCGGCCACATAGCTGTATGCTACCGTTGGTGTGGTTCACCACAAAGTGCAGGTCCTACTGGACCACCTGCGATGAGTCGGACCATGCACTAGTTCTGTTACACTTCACTCTTTACCTCATCAGTCAGCGGGAGAAATCCCCTCCTCGGTTAGCTCATCATCGTCTGAGCAATCCAGCTGTCCGCGCACGTTATGCGGAGATGCGAAGATAGGAGCTTGAAA